GATGATAGCCTTTTGACAGGTAGCTAACTCTCTGGCACAAAATGAAGACAACGTTCCAGGATGCTAGGATATATATGAAATTATGTACAAGATGTGAACTACACAAAGGTGAAGATTAGGAACAGATGTCGCCTTCCATGAGTTTCCACATGAGGGAAGACAAGTAGCCTAGTTTGTACTGCTCATTGTGTCAACATGTAATCACAGTACAAGTGGATTTTCAACCCTCCTTCCAACTCTGTATTTCAACATAAGGAGAACAAGAAGTATTTAGTAAGACCATGCTTCCCAACAGCATCTCCGTCAGTGTGCCAAATATGTAACTAGGGGAAACTATGTTCGTTTCCTTCCATTATTCTAAGGTTCCTGGGTACTTGTGCTCAGAAACAAATTACACGGAGAACACCAAGCTACCTACACGCTGTAGGAGAAGCAAAGATGAGAAGGATGGACAGTATCTGTGGAGCCTAAATCTAGTAAGAAAATTGAGGCACATATACATGATTACTATTTTAGAAAATCTAAATACCTTTCAAGATGCAAAGTTCTGAGGAGATTCAAGAAAAGAGCAAGATTAGGAATGGAATAGTCAAGAGAGACTACATAAGAGGTGACAGGACAGACTTACAAGGATCAATGACAGCCTTCTGACAGGTAGACAGCCATTTGTCAGGAAAAGGAGAAGAGCCATTCCGGGGAGGGGAACATCAGGTAACCTAAATGTGGATGAGGCAAAAGGTATATAAAATGTGAGAAGTAGGTTAGGGAAGCCGTGAGTACACTGGACATTTTTAATGCCAGTGTGAGAAATCTGTACCCAAAACCAATTTCAGAAGACACCTAGTACACATTTACAACTACGGAAGTAACACTAGAAAGAGCATCGTGAAAGATTTCTGTTTGCTCGTTGCTGGATCCTCACACGGAAGGCAATGCCTTATCCTAGATCACTCCAATTTATAACGAGCAATACTAAAACCCTACCCAGATTTCCTCATTCATGACAAGGAACATGAAGAATGAATACTTTGAGGCAAGGCAAGCAGCAGAGTATCCCTCAATTTGTGTTAGGGTCAAACTTCAAGGCACAAAGGCAGTATATAGGCAGTTGGGTAAAAAGAGATGCTCAGGTCCCACTCCCCTAATTCAGTCTGATCAGTAATTGTGTTGAATCTGTAGTTTTTACAAGTATTCCCAAAAACTCATTCTCAGATGGTCCACAGGCCACATTTTGAAAAACACTGCCCTACAGCAAGGTCCCCAACATGGCACCAATATAACTGGGCCGAAGAACAGGCTTCATCATTGAAGATGAATAATACATACCCAGATAATGTGGAGCCCAGCATACTTCAAGTGAGATCCAGGCCAGCACAACGCCCCTAAGGTGGTAAAGTCCCTGAACTCCAGGTTTTGTGCCATCCCAATTATGGTCATTTCTTCAATTATAATCATGTAGACAAATTAGGCGAACCTCTTTACTAGAATTCTGGGCTTAAGAAATCCTGAGAAAACAACTCCAATTTCTAATATGTGAAAGAATTACTGGCAGAAATTATTACAATCAAGAAATATGGCAGGTAAATGAAAATAAAAAGTTCAGTTTGCTGGCAGTCAAACCAAAGTAAATATCAAGGGGTTTTTTAAGTCCAAGAATAAAATATAATCTAGATTCAATTATAATTAATTAGAATGAATACTGAGTTAAACTCAAATTTTTAAGTGACAGGGTACAGGACAGGGAAAGATGTAAGAAGGTACAGTAGCTCGTCTCCGAGATCCCTGTCATCAATCCCCCTGCCTAACCCCCATCCTTCCCACACTTGTCTCCCTTGCACCTTTCTGGATAAGCTATTTTCTCAATGAGAGGTAAAGTCTATTTCACCATTTTCTTGATTTGGGCCAGACCTGTGATGTCTCAAACCAAGAGAGTACAGCAAAAGTAACACTGCATGGTTTCCTAAGCTAAGTCAAAGAAACCGTGTAAGCTTTGGCCTTTGGCTAGGTCTTTGAGAACCTTTTCTGGGAGAAGCCAGCTCTACCATCTGACTACCCTGAGGCCACTAGTAATGAGGAAGCCTAAGCCTATCAGGTAGAAAGACTGTGTGAAGACAGATGACCAACCTGCCCTCATCTATTCCAGCCATTACAAACCAGGTATCAGACTCATGACAAGAAATTTTTACGTCCTGGCCACTATCTGACCACAACCTTATGAGTGACCAACCCCCAAAAAGAAATGACCAACTGAACTGAGTCAACATATAAGCTGTTGTTTTAAAACACTATGCCCCGGGGTAAATAACTGGAACAGTCACGGAAACCTTCACCCTACCTCATTTCTCAAGTTTTCTTTATAAGAACTTGCTTATATTTACTGCTCCCCACAGTCCTCAGCACCGTTGTTAAGGCTTGTCTGATAGGAATGCCACCCAAAGGGAATTCCCTAGTCACATACAGAGCAGGGAGGGAGAGAGAACACTGCTGTTCATGCTAATCCAAATTCTACCTACTTTGGCAAAGCCTAGCTCAAGTGTCACCTCCTTCCTTATCAGGGGCATATGGGGGTGACCCTGCTTTGCAGGGATTTTTCTTTCCTTAAATAAAGTCTCTGCCACTCCCTTAGCATCTATATATTGGCTTATATTAATTTTTAGTAGATATCCTTGAGATACTTTAACTTTCTTAAGAAACACAAGTTCTTGTATCCCTTTGTATCTCAGTGCTTTACACCATAAGGTACTCAATAGATGTGGCATTTGTGAATATGTCAATAGGACTTTTTTTAACTTATAAAGAAATGGGTTTAAATGAAAGTTTGTTTGGGAAAACTAAATAAACCGTAAGTAGCTATACCTCCCCTGAAAAGGACAACTTTTCTCACATATCCACAGGTCGTTTCCTTACCTCTTTCAGGTCAATACTCAAAAGTCAATGAGGCTTTCCTTGCCCACCCTACTTAACGCTGCACCCCACCATTGCCTTTCAACATTCCCATTCCCTGTTTCATTTTTCCTCATTTCATTTATGATCTAATTTACCACTCTTTTACTCTTATATAATATTTGTCAGGCTTCCACTAAAGTGTAAGTTCCATGAGCACAGGGCTTTTTGTCTGTTTTGTGCACTATTGTACCCCATGCCCAAACGAATACCTGATAGTTAAGAGACAGCCAACTGTCACTGTTGAATGAATGAATGAACACCAAGAATGGGTACGTCAGAAGTCTCTTATTTCAAACAATGAAATTATCCCCTTAAAAATAATTAAAACTGCTTTTACAGTTGGGCACAAAGTGCACTATGTCAATTCCCTGGAAATAACCTTAAAACTCCTTCAGGTTTTCAGTCAATACCTGGTTAGCTTGACTTCTCCCTGTTCATCAACAATCACTTTTCTTTTAGCAAAAATGGCACAAGATATTTCTGGACCATATCAGCAATTCAAGAACAGGAATTATCAGAAGAAGAAAGTGTTGCAATATTACAATCTGTAGGCACAGTCACCAAGTTAAACTATTTAGCTATATACATCTGCATTTCCTACTAGAACGTAAAGGTACTTGCTTTAAAAGAATCACCTGTATATAAGATTCACTTATAAGTTAATTCACCCTATTGTTTAATGGCTTTGACTGATTTCCATTTCTGCTTCACTTGTTTCTTTCCCCACACAGTGTTTCTGTTGCATTGGTTTAAGCAAAGACTGGGTTGCTTCCTAACAGTCCTGTATTTCTATTGGTCTGCTCAGTTCTTTGGCAAGTTCCATAAAATGTCAGCCCCTATTAAACTTTACCCTACAGGTTATATCATCAGTTGATAATGACAGACTACTGAGTCACTATATTCCTTGCTGACTGCACGGAAGGTGACAGGTCAGTCAAAGATTACTCTAATACCCTGCAAGAGTTCCTGTCTGACCTTGACGTACCCTTTCGGACAAAACCCTGCACTTACACCTGCCTATGAGACAAAGATTTAAAGGAAAAAAAAAAAAAATCAAACCGTAGCGTCTGTGGAGCATACCAGTAATTTACGTTACTGAACAGAGAAGAAAACATTAGTTTTCTTTCCTTCATACCCATACACCTAAATCATGGTTATCGTCACATCTTTATATCTAAGGAAAGGAAATGACACTACTTTCAGGATCTGACTGAAATCCAAACCTGCCATTTAGAACCTTCCTCAACCTGACCTCCTAGTCATCATTTCAGTCCAAAGGAAAGCCCATTTCCTCTGCATGAACTTCTCAAATTCCTCCAATTCAGAATTTCTCTCCCCCACTCTCATCGTGGTTACTTACTCCCAACACTTCTTGCTATTCACCAACAAGTTACTTATGTACCTACTCCCCTAAACCTGAGAATCCATGGAGTTAAAAGTAAGATTACACGGAACGTGTTTATTAGCACAGTGCTTAAGGTTTGTAGCCACCCAATAAATGGTGAATTCTCATACTTAAAAAATTCCCCATGGTTAAATGCATTCCCTCAATCAAACCTTAAAAAACGGCAATTACTATATCAAGTACTGTGTTAGCCACTAAGGATCAACGATTGCACACTATCCCAGACCTCTGAAGACACACGTGACTATCTTCATTTTGCCTATCCAGTCTCTCACATACTTTTTGTAAGCCCAGTTCAAACGCTACCTGCCCCCAACCACTCAGCTCATGCGCCTTCACAGACTAGCAATGATTTAAGAGCAGTGCCTTGAATCTCTCTGAAGAAACAGTGTAGTAAAAAAACACAAACAACAAAAAAGGTTGGGGCGGAGGGCAAATGCGTGGAGAAGCGCAGATGTTGGTGTTTGTGTTCAATAAAGCGGATCTCCCTTCCTCGAAAGCGCTAGCACCGTAATTTGCCCTGAAGGGCCGTGGGATGGGGCAACTGGAAGAGCAGGGAGCGCTGCGGTGCGCCGCGGATACACCTGCCGGATGTGCGGTACCCCCCGGTCGGAGACGCCCGGGTCCCCCTACCCGCGCCGGACCTCACCTTGGTGGTCGTAGACGCTAATGTAGGAGATGCCCACGGCCATACACCACACCACGAGGCTCGCGATGTCCGTGAAGCTGGGCTCCTGCTCCTCTTCGGTGACCACCAAGCCCATGTGCACTGGCAGCTTCTCCAGGGAACGGCCGTCCGCGCGCCAGCGCAGCCGGGGGTGGGCGGCGGCCGGGCCCGGCCTCCCTCGCGGATGCCGGTGGTGACGGCGGTTCCTGCCGACAGCCGGGGGCTTGCGGAGCGTGAAGCCGAGCGGCGCTAGGACCGCGGCAGAGGCGGCGCGGCAGCAGCGCCGCCAGATCCAGTTCCAGGTGCCGAACCGAACGCGGAGCCAGGAGGTGAGCGTGCGGTGCAGGCAGAGCAGAGCGTGAAGCACCCGCCACACCAATTCGTACAGCCCCGTCATACTCCCGTGGCGTCCAGGCGCCCTCTCCTCCCGCCCTCCCACACCCGCGGTGCGACGGCTTCTTATCCAGCCCTGCGGCCGGCGCGGGCCATCACTCCACGTTCCCCCGCCCCCCACGCCTGAACCCCTTTCCACTGCCAACACCTCACCTCGCCCCCGCCGCCATCTTCCTCCTGCCTCGGCAGCCCCGCCCCCACTAGTACATGGACAGTTCTGATTGGTCGTTGCGGAACTCTGACGCGACTTCTGAGTCCGAGGATGTGGCCTAACCAGACGCCGCGAAGGAGAGCGCGCTCCTGGGAACTAAGCGGGTTGGGGACCGAGGGCGCCCCCTAGTCGTGTGGAGAACGAGGAACAGACGCCGCCAACCTTTGCCCGCAGGACTCGACAGAAAGGCACTCGTCTTCAAGGTTGGAATGGGTCACCTCAGGCACTCCGCGTCCCTCGAGGCCTTGGGCGTCTTCTACTGCCTGTCTCCTCGCACGGCCCCGCCAGAAACGGTTTCTAAGGGATAACCTTAGAATGGCCCAACTGGATTACATTACATTGCAAACGCCAGAAAGAACCTAGGAACAGAAGGTAGCCCTCAGCAAGTGCTGATGTTGGGGGTCAACGAGGGTCCTGGAAAGGAGGGGTGCAGAGACAGAAGCGTGCGCCTTACGGAGGTCCTGCTCCTGTTCTTCACTCACACCTTGTACCTGAGGCTAATTCTTCCCCAAATGTGAATGAGGATCTTTAGGAGTGCTCTTGAAACATAATTCTGCCTATGTCCTCCCCCTCTAAGTGGAATATTTACTGGCTGTCCATTGCTTAATACAGAAAAGGGGGTTCCGCGGCCTGGCAATCCAGTCAGTTTATTGTTTTGTTCGTTCAGCACGCGATCGCTGACTACCAGCATGACCGACCTGAGTAACCACCTCTCTCTGGTGGAAATTGCCCATGCAGTGACATCATCCCCTTCACACAGGCTCATGTTCCAGTCCATCTGGACCACAAAATATTCCTCCAGGCCAATTCTGTACCTGCAGGAGTTCGGTACCTTTTTTGCCCCCTTTGCTCTCTTGCCTTCTCCTTAATCCCTGCTTCCCAAGTAGGTGTTGCCCGAGCCCCAACCCATTTCCCAAGCAGCATCGTACAGGCCAAGTCCTCAGTGAAAATTCTCTTGCTCTCCTAGCCTGAAGTCATTTCTTCCTTGTAAATCTCACCACTGTTTGCAAATTTCATGGCTCTACTTATTACACTTTCCATTTTCATATTCAGTTTACCCTTGAGGAATATAGTGGGTTAGGCTGCCAAAACTCCCCTCCCCTCAGTCAAAAATCCTCATATAACTTTTGACTCCCCCAAAACCTAACTATTAACAGCATACTGTTGACCAGAAGCCCTACCAGTAGTACAAACACCGGATTAACACATATTTTGTATGTTATATGTATCATATCCCTTATTCTCATAATAAAGCTAGAGAAAATGTTATTAAGAAAATCATAAAGAAGAGAAAATACATTTATCAAAAAAAATGTATCAAAAAAAAATCCAGTAGGAGTGAACCTGCACAGTTAAACCTGGGTTGTTCAATGTGAATATATATATAAATATATATAAAAATATAGATAGATATTTATATATATATAATATTGCATGTTACATATAGCATGTATAAAATAATTGCATTTTTGTAATGCCTACCTAGTCTTTGTTCTCTCAAGCCCTTTTTCCTCATGGGAAACATCTGTTAACTTCTTGGCCACATACCTTAGTGTTTCAGTCATTGTCACTTTTTGGAGTAGTCTCATTGTCCAAGACTCACTTCATTTTATTTATTTATTTTTAAGAGGTGTTTGAGAGTTTTAATGTTCATTTATTTTTGAGAGAGAGAGAGAGAGAGACAGAATCCAAAGCAGGCTCCAGGCTCTGAGCTGTCAGTACAGAGCCCGACACGGGGCTCAAACTCACAAGCCGTGAGATCATGACCTGAGATGAAGTGGGACACAACCGACTGAACCATCCAGGCTCCCATCACTTCACTTTATTTTGAAACTGGAGGGACACCTGGGTGGCTCCGCCGGTTAAGCGTCCAACTTCAGCTCAGGTCATGATCTCATGATTCGTGAATTTGAGCCTGTTCATGGGTTCAAGCCCCATATCGGACTCTGTGCTGACAGCTCAGAGCCTGTAGCCAGCTTCAGATTCTATGACTTCCTCTCTCTCTGCTCCTCCCCTGCTCATGTTCTGTCTCTCTCTCTGTCTCTCAAAAATAAACGTTAAAAAAAGAAACTGGAATCTCATGTCCATGTCAAAGTTTTTCTCCCTTTGGCAGTTCAGCCAGAGGGAGTAAGGGCTAAGCACCAGGCATGCCCTTCACTCCCTTCTGCATCTCTCCGGTCCCTTTGTCTGGTGATGGACAAAGAGGAGGGAGAGAGGAAAGGCAGTGACCAGGAAAGCCTGCAGTCTTCTTCCTCACTAGCCATTGCCGTTTATGTGACTACAGGATGCTCTGCTAAGGAAGCTCTTCAGGCACCAGCATCCTTCTGAAACTTGGCTGTGTATTCCAAAGGACAGCCCCCTACACACACACACACACACACACACACACACACACACACGGCTACATTTCTCTGTTCTACTCACCTCTATGCCCCAATGTTTGCCACTTCTGACAAGACTAGAGGCATCAGTCTCATCTCTCCATGGTCAGCTCTCAGGTCTGCAGGCACATGCAGGCTGCAACTTTTGTACTTCCTTGAATTGCAAACTTAAGCAAAGGGGTTCTAGCTCCATTTCTGTCTGACAGTATCCCACCCCCCTCCCCAACATGGAGACCCTGCCTCCTGTCCTCAATTGTTTGTTTTTTTCCTCCAAGAGTAACCGTAGGTAGGGTAACAGGTCTCTTGACTTCAAAATGTTCAGCCTCCTGAAAGGAGATAGGCAAGGGCTCCCCCTTTTTCTTCTTTGCCATCTTTCAGTAGGCTGAGAATGGAAGTGTCAAATTCCAGCTACTTCTCTGCCCTTAGAAGGAGCTGGATTTGGGGGCACCTGGGTGGCTCGGTTGGTTGAGCGTCCGACTCTTGGTTTCGGCTCAGGTCGTGATCTCATTTTTGTGAGTGCGAGCTCTGCGTCTGGCTCTGCACTGCGGTGCAGCGTCTGCTTGGGATTCTCTCTCTCCCTCTTTCTCTGCCCCTCCCCTGCACGCACTGTCTCAGTCTCTCTTAAAATAAATAAACTGAAAAAAATTAAATAAAAAAGTAGGAGGTAGATTTGATGCCTGTTGTTTTCTGCCACAATTCTGGAACAATAGGAAAACATATTATCTTATTATGTATATCCATTCAATCCAAAGCTTAAGGACTTGTCTCTTTTCTAAAGAATTTCTAATTTTGTCACTTGCGAAAAAAAGAAAAGAAGCAATGAATGTGGCACTTTTAGGAATGTTAAGTGTTCATATAAATAAGGTATAATATAAAATTTGAACTTCTTAAGCATAATTCCACCCAAGTTCTACCCAAGTTCTACCAGGGACAGATAAATGCAGAAAGAATTCTACAGCCTCAGAAATATGGTAAGTCTCAGACATTATGGGGACAAGCATGCTGTGATTCCAAGTGTATGACATTTTGATATGTCACCTCGACATCCTCGTTATATCTCAGTCAGGTTCTGATGCTTGCTCTCTCTCTTCAAACTGTTTTTTGGGTTTTTGTTTTTGTTTTTGTTTGCCATTTAGAATGCCTTGTAATTTTTATTTGGTGATTGGACATGATGTACTGGGTGGAAGGAACAGTCCTTTAGTAATGTGGTGTCAAGGTGCAGAGGGTGGGAAGCGTTCTGCAATCCTATGATCAGGTCTCAGTCTTTTAGTGAGCTTTGTGCCTCTGGTCTGTGAACTCGCAAGTATTTTTCAGTTCCCTAATCCACCCCCCCCCTCTTATGTGGGCCAGGATTGGGGCGCCTGGGTGGCACAGTCGGTTAAGCGTCCGACTTCAGCCAGGTCACGATCTCGCGGTCCATGGGTTCGAGCCCCGCGTCAGGCTCTGGGCTGATGGCTCAGAGCCTGGAGCCTGTTTCCGATTCTATGTCTCCCTCTCTCTCTGCCCCTCCCCCATTCATGCTCTGTCTCTCTCTGTCCCAAAAATAAAAAAAACGTTGAAAAAAAAAATTTTATGTGGGCCAGGATGACTAGACAGGGCTGGCGTTGGGTATTTCCCTTCCCCCTAGATCGGATAAAACCCCAATAATTTAGACTGTGGTAAAAGTGTTTCTCTTGAGAGTACCCCCTGTTAAGAAGAACAGAATGCTCTGGCATCTTTCAAAATGGCTCTTTTTCTCCTCCTGCTGTCAGAAGCATGATATTTTTCCCCCTAATATTCACTGGAGAACCTGGTTGAGTTCCTGAAGGTGAAGCTTACCTAAGTGTGGGGGACCTCCTGTGTCTGCCAGCCCCTCCAGAGCTTTTAATTCTCAGACTTGTCCACTCTGAGCCTCTAGCAATTACCCATCACAGGTCAGATTTTTCTGCCATAGCACAGGTTCCTGCAGAGGCCTCTGCTCAGGGCTTTCTGCTCCTGTGATTCTCTGCATTCACCTGGCTCTCTAATTGGGATCTCACTTTCTCTTATGGATCAAAAAAGAGTTGTTGATTTTCAGTTCATTCAGCTTTTTTATTTGTGGTTGCAACAGATTGACAACTTCCAAGCTCCTTACATGGTGAATCATAAACTATAAGTCAACTATGAGTTTTTAAAAAGTTATTAGAACACGGCCACATTCATTTATGTATGAATTGTACAAATATGTACTCTTAGGTCATTTACCTTAAAAGTTGACCAACCTGGAGTGCCCGGGTGGCTTGGTGGGTTCAGCATCCGACTTTGGCTCAGGTCATGATCTTGCAGTTCATGGATTCAAGCCCCACATTGGGCTCTGTGCTGATAGCTCAGAGCCTGGAGCTTGCATCACGTTGTGTATCTCCTTCTCTCTCTGCCCCTCCCCTGCTTGCTCTCTCACTCTCTCTTGAAAATAAATAAATATTAAAAAATAAAATGGGCACAGTGAACAGATCACCAAAAGAAGAGGAAATGCAAAGGCTAACAAACA